CATGCTGACCATGCAAAGTGTTTTTATTTATTTATTTTTTATTTATTTTATTATTAAAACATTTTTATGCCGCCCCATTCGCCGAAGCCTCGGGGCGGCTTACAACAATAAATTAATATAAACATTAAAAATCCAAAAAATACAATATAAAATAAGCCGCCCTGGCCAGATAAAATCAGTTAATACTAACAGTTAAAATACCGCTTAAATAAAAAGGTTTTCGCCTGGCGCCGAAAAGCAAATAATGACGGCGCCAGGCGGACCTCTCTGGGGAGCGTGTTCCATAAGTTGGGCGCCACCGCAGAGAAAGCCCTCCTCCGAGTACTCACCCTCCTAATTTCCTTCCCGGAGGGTTCCCGGAGAAGGGCCTCTCCCGCTGATCTCAAGGGGCGGCTGGGCATATATGGACGTAAGCGCTCTGTTTCCCTGACTGACTGACTTCGGTAGGTCTCAGAGATTCTCTTGTCTGAAACCCTGGAGAGCTGGTGGTCCTCAGAGTAGGAGACAGTGCCCAATAGATGGACAGTGCTCTGATGTATTCAAAGGCCGCTTCCTCACTCTTATATAAACACTGCAGTACTCATGTTAGCTTCAAAACAAGGATTACCATTCAAGAGACAAGAATACATGTAACCGTGAAAGTTCGGCTTGCTAGTGTTTCTTTCCTTCTTTCCCTTCCTCTCCTTCCCTGAACTCACTTAACATTTTCGCACATCATCCCTCTAAAACATGTTCCGCCTTGCTTCTCCATATTACGAAGTCTGTTTGGCTGGTCTATTCGCAATGCTATTTCAGCCATTTTGATTCTCCTTTTATTTTAGCTACCTGGGCTCTGGCCATAGGGGGGTGTAATGGTTAGAGTTTCAACTGGGGCTGACCCAACTTGGGTTCTAGTCCCCACTTGGTTATGAAGCCTACTGGGTAATGTTGGACTAGTTATTCACTCTTGCTCTGCTCTATGTCATTGGACTGTTGTGGGAATCAAACGTGGAAGAGGAAGAGGAGAGCCATGTAAGTCCTCTTGGGTTCCTTGCAAGAGGAGAAAAACTGGGATATAAAATGTAGGCATTACCATATAAGGTGGTGTATTAATGGCACCTGGTACAATCTTGTATATATTCCAGTTCATATAACCGAAATGTGTCAGCTGTGGCTGAAATCAGTAGGTAGAGTAAAGTGTCAAAGCCCTTCACTTTGCCTCAGAGATTGCAGAACTTTGTGGTGGGTCACACCTGCATGCTGCATTGCATGGGAGGAGCTGAATTCTGCCTAGAAATACATTGCTGCACCTCTGTGTGGCCATTGGCGTAGGGGCCGCGTGCTAGTGCGGCCTGCATTAAAACTCTCAGAACACCGAAACTCTATCTACTTTGCTAGATGATTTAGCAACACGGAAGGAAAGTGCAGAGAGTGTTCCCAGACTGACCAATTGTGACTATGATCCTGGCCCTTTGATGTAAAGAAAGGGGAAGAAGCAGCGTTCGATGGTCCAGATACAGCGTTCAGGGCTGTGTGTCGAGGATGCAACCCTCCACCTTCAGCTTGTTTTCTTCTTCCCCGCCTGGGGGATGCTCTGCGCCGAGACCCTGCACCAAGGACAGGAGGGCCCCCGGATACATGAAGTCTGGCTTGCTGCATTTTGACAACATTTCACGGACATCTAGAGAAGGAGGCGGGGGGTTCTGACTCCAGAGTCTAACGTTCTCAATTACATTATGCAGCTATACCTTATTTTCTTTCTGAACAAATTTCCCATGGTAAGAAGAAAGAACCAGTGGAGAATGTGGGGCGATTGCGGATGGAAGGCCGCGCTGTCCGGACCCTGGTGAAATGCCCTGAACAAGGCCAAGCATACGGAAAGCTCCCTCCAGAGACACCCTGTGATCTCATGTCACCGCTTCATGGCAGGGCTGGTTCCTCAGAGATCTGGGCAGCAGGTGCAAACGGGGACAGGGTATTGAATTGTCCTGTACCTTTGCCGCGATGGACGAAACAAATACAGTTCAGATAATCAGTCTTTGGAGGATGCCTCGGTCATGGGTGCCCATGGCGTAGGCCTGCCTGCGGGCCTTGCCGTGCTTTTCATACTTCCAACCCTGGAGTCAGGGACTGGCACGAGCTTGCTTACTTCAGTGCAGAGCCAGAAATTTGGGGGGTAGGAAAACATTGGGGCCCAGGATTTGAACTGACGGACTGCGGGCTGGAATATTCTCCACTGTTGACTAGAAGGCGCATAGAATTTACGTCCATCCTTTCAGGCAAGGGTTGACAGAAATGAAATTCTGCCCTTAACAGGGCATACAAAAATCTGACTAGTAGACATAGGATTGGTCTGTGCAAAGAGTATTGGTCTATTAATCAGAAATGCCCAACACCTTCTGTAGAATTTGCTGTAAACTTTCTTCTGGCTGATCACTAATGTACAAACTAATGTTGGCTTAGCTGAAACATACCACAACAGAAATACAGACCTTTTGCGATATTGTTGGAGGGTTATTTATTTGGCAAGATAGAGACAAATACAGAGCATTTTCTTGTGGCATTGACCTTAGCAGGCAGGCAAACTTTACTATGATGAAACCGGTAATCCCTCAAAAACAAACTTCCAGGAGAGGGTTGGCACTGGGGATTAAACATCAGAACAAATATTCTACGTTATGGCAGTTAAAAGCCCTACAGAGAAGCTATTTGGATAGATTGAGGACAGTGAGCTGGAAATTCAAAGCTTAGATTCACAAGGATACAAAACTTTATTGACTGTTCTGAGCTAGCTGGATGTTACTTTTTAAAACTTCATTTTTAAAGTTTATCCAAGGCCTGATCCAAGGGATTAAAAGATAGAAATGTTACATTTCAGAGGCATTTTCTGTTATTGCTGGAGAGGTTGTTACTTCATGATTTTATTACAAATTTGTGCTGATATTATTGCAATACTAATCTCTGCAGATAAAGTTATTACACTCAGGAAATGCCACATAATTGTTTTTAATTAGCCATCCAATGTTGTTGTTTTTTTAGATGCAGAGGATGTCATTTTGGGCGTATTTTTGCTGTCTGTGGTTTAGCAGCTTATATGCGATATTTTATTTTTCTGCTTTCATTGATCGATCGGGCAATGTGTGAAGGCCAAATTGCACATGATGGGAAGTGTCAATTGCGCACACGCCCAGAGAGTTGGTGGTAGTATTTGTTGCTGTTGAATAGTAAGCGTTGGGGTGCTGGGCGACTTTCACCAATACTACACCACGGGGAGAAAAAGATTTAGCCTACAATGCCTGAGACTTTAGTTTTCGCTCAGAAACACACGAGCCTGCCTCACTCAAAGCCTCGAGTGTGATTGTGTGCCTGCCAAAACTATTCCCAATTTGTCAGACACGTGTTTGTCTTGCTCATGTTTGTCCTATTCCTAATTCCTGGTTTGATATGTGCATAGACTAAATTAGCCCCACTTTAACCTGGGTAGAAAATTACTGTTATTATAATTTATTGTATTTGTATGCCGCCCAATAGTTCAGGCTTCGCTACACGTTTGGGAAGATTTGCGCAAATCTCTTGTTCAGTCACTGCTTGATTTGTGCAAATCTCCTGTCTGTGCAAAGGCAGCAAAGCCTGTAAATTGGAAACATGAGTAGGACAAGTGGCGAGGCAATGTTCAGAGGATCCCAGAGGCCTTGAATGTTGCTCATTTGCCCATCCAAATGCAAGTCTGATTAAAATGCGCAAACACGGTTTTGCTATTTACCTTAGGAAAAAAGTTCCACTGGTGCCCATGGCAGTCTTTATCCCTAAAGCGAACAACAGCCCACCGGAGCTTTCTGTCAGCCCTGTGGCTGCAAAGAGAAGGGTTCCACCTCTTCTCCTAGCATGCCGCAGCCCTGCTGAAAATCCCTCATTCACCTACCAAGAAATTAAACAACAGCAACAAAACCTGACATGTTTTTCAGTGATGTATGTATTAGCGCGATGTCTTGTTTTCCCCTGAGTCCACTCTGAAGCCTGTTTTTGCTTCTTTTCGATGCTTACATGTTCCTTGCCATCCAAGAAATCTATTTTTACTCAATTTATTCCAAGTGTGACCATATAGGCTGGGATTGAACAGCAATATGCTTGGTGCGGAGCGGAGATTTCTTGTCTGTTTATTTACAAGAAAGCTGGAGTCTTTGTTGTGCTTCCAAAACTTCCACATGTAAGCGCAAACACTGCCTTCATCTAGGAACTCCAGTGCATCGTCACTGTTCACATCTCCCTCCTGAGCTAATAGAAGCTATTGCTGCTTGATTGTCTGTCGCCGAGTTCAGACAACCCTGGATTTATGCCTCTGAGCAATAACATTTCCACGGTGTTGCAGTGGGTGCTTCAAGCTGTAGCCCCCTGAAATTAGGAATCAATCGCAACTGTGGAACTTATTGCCCAAACGTTATTTCTGAATGGTGGGTGCTCCGGGCTGCAGATGTGATATTAACAGGTGAAAACCACATGGACTAGATTTCTTGTAAGAGCCTATTCAGTGATGCTCTGAGGTCCACCATGTAGCTATGATATTGCTACTGCAACATATTCCTACTGGTATGTAAAGAACTGTGAAGTCGTGCACCTGTAGGTGATATGCCTATAGCTTGCCCATTAAGATTGGTTTTGAAGGGCTTCAACTCAAGGGCATTCATGGAATAGGGCTCTCCCATGCAGCTGCTACACCGCTGCAATTCCTCTTGGGGATAGATGGGCCCTTGGGAAAGGTACAGAATATGGTGTGGAGGTCTCTAGATGGAGAGGGGATGGTTAGAAATCCACTTTCCGCTTCTGTGAGCAGAAAAGTGGCTTATGGTCTAAGCCAGTTATCTAAATAACTTGTTTCAGTTGGTTTCAATGTTGAAAGTCCCATGAAATGTCATAGAGATGTACTCTCTAGTTTCAAACACACCAGTTTTTAATAGATTTCTACAAGATTCACCAAAGCTTTTCTCTCTTCTAATATGCGTTTTGTATGGGTTTTTTTCCAGTTCAACTGAAGAACAGTTTCATTGGCAAACACAAGGTAAAACATTTTATAGAATTCTGTGTTATAACATTTCTCTCAGATGGTGACAATCTCCCTGTATTTTGCCCAGTCCATGCTTTTGTTACAGAGATGCTGCATTTTCTATACAAATACTTTGTAACTGGGAAAAATCCATTTCCCACACACAGGAAGATGTTTAATCTATGTAACTCAGTGTTTTGAGTTACTGGCTGGTTATACTTTGTCATGTAACCTACTGAGATCAGGATTTGCAAGTTGTCCCCGGGTTCCCAGTCACTAGTTCAGAATATGTTTTCTTCCTCAGAATATCACTTGTTCATCCAACCTTCTAAATCACAAATCAAACCAAACAGAAAGTGTAGTACTTGTTTATTTTCCTCCTCTAAATCAACAGCTTATAATGAATCAAAACATGAAGTGACTGGTTACAAATAAAATTACTGAAGTATGGAATTCTGTCAGATCAACCTTATCAAAAAAATTTTAAATGACCAAAACAGAACAAGACCAAATAAAAGAAGAAATATTGATTTGCTCATGCAGGCTATTGACAGCCTAGTACACTGTAACAGTAATAAGGCAGACAGAATTTCTGGCTAAAATAGAGGTTAATATGAAATCCTACCAACCTATTAATTCTTAATTACCTAGGTGTTATTCACTGTTACCAGATTGGCATAAGTGGTATTTTGGAGGGATTACTTTTTGCTAATTCAAAAATGACTCTTGGGCTATTCCTGGTAGGGAGTCAAGATGCTCAAATTATGATACCTAAATCTGCACCTGTAATCATTGATGCCCTTGCAAACAAAGGTTGAAATCTGACATTCTTGTTCAGGATCCCCCACTTCTGCTTGGTGTGTTATACATATCGATGCCTCAGTTTTGCCCCAAGTTTAGCTAATATGCCAGTAAACCAACTGTTGACAATTGTCTGGTTTAGATGCTCAAACAACCTGAGCTAACAATCCATAAATAGTTTGCAAATGAGCAGGCCAGGTTTTGCCTGCCTCTGCTTTAACACCCCCTTCTTCAGTTGTTGCCTGGCTTCAAAACCCAGAAATCTGGGTTATTTGGGTGATCATAGACCCAGAATTAACCCAACAATGTGCTTTTGTTGTTGCCTTGCCTTGGTTTTACACATCACCAGGCAACCCAGGAAGACCGTGTTCTTGTGCTATTAGTTGAAACAGAAGGGGTGCGTGGATGGGAGGTAGTCTGCTGGGGCATTCCCACAACCCTACTAATGCCTGCATTAAAGAACCCAGGAACTGGCCATAGCACAGGAACCAGGTCATTAGGTAAGATGACATCTGGGCTGTCTCCTCTTTTCCATGGGAACAGTTTATGCTTCTGAAAGTAGCTTCCCCCTTCTCTTACCTAAGCGGCACAGTGACCTACTTCCACTGTAGGCCTTCATTTCTCTTCACAGCAAAAGCAAGATAAACATGGCAGCACTGAAGTATTCAGAATGGAAATATTGAAGACTAGGGAGCATATTTCCAATGAACAACTTAACTCCTTTCCATTCTGATGAGTCACACTCCAGTTGCTCAAACCCAGGACACAATTTTACAAATCCATTCACTCATAGTAGCCGTTAATTCATGCGCTTGCTTTTTAGAGTCGTTGTTTAGGAAGCTGCATGCACGTTTGCTGCTCAGCCTGTGTGAAAAAGTGACACGGGGCTTTTTGTGGCAAATGCACAACCCATTAATTGCCATAAGTGCCCTTCCATGTAGCTAGGATACTGTGCCAAAATGCAGTTTGCAAATAAAATTACCAGTTAGATATTACGTGTTGCAAAGTATAAATGATGGGCTCCTAGATGCCATGCTCACTGTCCAGCACATTGAAATTAATGGCCTTAAGTCTGTGTAAACTACTGGATCGTGTCCAGTGGTGTAAAGAATGCTATGAATTAGCATTGCCACTGTCCAACAGCTAGGCTAGCTCCGGGCGGTGGGGCAGTTTATTATCTTACCTTGATGCCTTAATCTTTTCAGTCATTTAAAACTTTTCAAATAATCTCTTTTGTTACAGATGGCCAGAAGGATATAGAAGATGAGCTTACGACTGGTCTTGAACTTGTGGACTCATGTATTAGATCGCTGCAAGAATCGGGAATCCTTGATCCGCAGGACTATTCAACAAGTGAAAGTAAGTTTCTAAAGGATTTGCCTTTCTTGGTGCCCTGCCCTAAATTAAGACCCACCCTCTATACATAAGACTTGGGCTTATAAGATGAAAGAATGCTGGGCCATTACAACATTCTTATTCCATCTTTCATAGTTGAAATGGTTGAGCCGTTTGCTACGTGTGTGGATATCGATAACAATTTTCACAACAGAGTCCTTTTCACAATACCCATGAAAACCAGCATGGGGTTCTTTTATGTGCTGGTGGCCTTTGGGAAGCCTTTTCAGAAACAGTTGGATCCGGCTGGCGCTCTTCACCTGTTTTAAATTGTGTATGTGAAGTGGCACTTGAAAAATGTGCTGATTTTCCTTCACTGAGCCTGAGGAATCGTATGGATAGGACATGGTGCTCAGCTCCTGTACATCTGAGTAAACATGACAAATGGCCCCAGTAAATGGGAGCCACCCCCCAAAATGCAGGCAACAAACCCCCTCAAACAGTTGCTTTAGAGTGTTTAGTGTAGCCTTTCCATGATAATGAGTAATCCTATAAGTTATTATAACAGGTACCTGGCATATTTTTAATTTATTAATTAATTTATTTAATTTCTCTGCTGCCCAATAGCTTGAGACTCTCTGGGTGGTTTTCATGAAAGGAGTCTGCATACACAGAATACAAACCTTATTAAGCCGTTTTGATTCATCTCTCGGTTAATGGTGTGCTTTCAGTATTTCCCCAATGAATACACTGCAAAAGCCATCTTTATTACACAGCCCCTAACAAAGCAGATGTTTGGTTCTGAAAGGCATTTGGTCCTTGATTTTTATTATGTTTTTCTTCTACCTGTCGCTTCCCCTGAAAGAATGAGAAAAGGCACACAACAAAAGGGCCTGCATCTGCATTATTAGGCGTATAAAAAGCCAATTCAGACATGTTCTCCCATTTTTTAAAATAACCACCTGTCAGATGGTTGAAAGGGTAGAATAAGATTAAATCTGGCATCTTTTGAGCTAGCAGTCTGTTAAATCAGTTAGTTATTTCCTCCACGATCTAGCAAAGGTTTGGGGACAACCTTGGTGCTGTTGATTTTGACTAACATAAATAATGTTCTAATTAAAGACAGATGAAACGTGCCGAATGTGCTAGTTTGCTTTCATGCAGTAGATCTCATCTTATGTTTTCTAAATCTTGGCTGTTGCACCGAAGAGTTGTGCTCAGTAATGCCTGGATGTCAGAGCGTTGTCGAGAAACACTTGCAAGCTGCTTCTGGTTTTCAGTGATGGGAGAAAGATACTCTGCACAAGGTTAGGAGGACTGTTGTTTCATATGGCATGAATTAAACCCTGTTACGAGGTTACCCAAAGTTTGGTTCTTGATATCAGGCCAGGTGGAGAAGAGTAGTTGCCCACCCAAAGGAGTGCAGCTGGGAGAAAGAGGATATTTTAGATCTGGGTGAGGGCAGCAC